TTATTGGCAATATGTAGGCCTCTGTCCTCGCTGATGAACTTTACCATTGAGGTGTGTAGGACGATCTTGCGCCCTTGTAGAGTAGGGTCAAAGTCAAACCACTCCCAGAAATCAGGCCCTCAGTTCACCAAATTCCGGCAACCGAGCACCCTCTTTTCATCTTGCTCCTCGAAAAATGCAAGGAAAAAAACCACCTCAAACCCGGTGAAGCAGGTAAACAAGCCGACTATGTGATCAAGGTGTTTCACCAGTACGCGCGAGAGCTCAAGGCTATCCGACAAATCTACACGCTCGGAAATTCGCCTCTTTCAGAGGAAGAAGTGTTTATGGGCACCATTCTTGAACAGTCATCTCAGACCAAGATGCGAGATGAAATGTCTGTTCGTTTACGCGAAGTGTCGGGTCAATTGGTCGACCGGATTCGATGGACGTTCGAGGGCTATCTAGGCGACCCCCTGATGCCATGGCTCGCGCGCACCTTTTATGCATTCCAGTACGCACTTTCTCCTGCAGCAGGGAAGAACAAGAATGGCGGTATCGTGACCGAGTGGAAAGAAGCACAATGTAGCTTTGGGATGATCGCACTGAGGTCTGCGTTTGAGTGTTTGGATGTGTGCAACAAACGCAGACCGGATTCTCGAAGAGGCCGAGGCTATCGAGATTAGGAAAAGGTCTCTAACTGATTCTCGACGTCAAGGGCATGTTCAAGTTTGCATATATCACAACCATTGTGTTGGTTATGGAATAATTGATTGACCTTGTATGAGTGTACATTTTATTCCATGCAACTCTCGATTCGATAAGTTAGCCTACCTAATACAGCGAGATATCTCTCTTCAGTGAGGAGAATCTCAGCAGAAGGATAAGGGGTAAACCTCTAAATGGTGTCATACAAGGAAAAGGAGAGAAGATATAGTAAGGTATGCGAACAAGAGGTGCTTCAGAGTGGGGATGGATGTTGCTGAACGGCTCTCAATGCAGTCCACTCTTCGACTTGGTCTGACCCACTGCTGCCATTGGTCTAATCTGGTACCCGTCGCCATGCCAGATGCAACCGGTGGACCAAAATTTCCATCAAACTTCTTGCTTCACCTGAAATATTTCTTCTGGAGTCTGAGATATTATGTTTCTTAACCGT